CTAACACCTTTTGTGATGTTGTCATACCGAATTCATTTAAAAGAAATTTTAGTTTTGTATTAATAAATTAGGACACCAAAAAGACTTTTGCTTACCAAAAAAATTCAACAAATTTATCAGCTGTTTGATGACTGACTATGTATTACAATCCACAAAAATCAGGTTTAAAAAACATGACAGTCTTATCGATATTTAGTCAATGAGTATAACAAATGGTTACAGCTTGTCCATATAGTTGAGATATTTATAGTATCGATTAATAGTGGTTCACCAAACTTCCCATTTAAAATACTCTACTTACCAAACATTCTAGTCTTCTCAATCCCATTCACAAATCTCTTTCTACAATTCACTATTCCATCTTAGCACCACAATTCAATCCAGAACCCCCACGATTCACATGCATGACCACCATAAAACAACCCTATTCCGTTAAAAGCTACAGCAATAAAATTCTCACATGGGGTAAAAGCACTTGATGGTGATGAATTATGATTGTTTGGCGCCATTTATGGCGGGAGAGTTCTTATAAAGTGGATATCAAAATGTCGTAAAGCCCACCAATTACGCGGGCCAGTAGGCAGATGATGCAAGCTTTACGCGGGTAGTAAAGCCCAAGTGGACAACAGGGTGGACTTGGCATCAGGTGTTTTGGAATAAATCTCGAAATATTCGCTGCTGTTTTATTGGCACTTTGGAGGGGATGAACAAGGAATTGGGTTTGGGAAGGGAAATCATGCGAAACTCGGTATGATGTCTAATTTTTTTGCCTATGTGCGTGATTGTTGTTTTGGGATTGTTGAGGAATTTTTTATCACTGATTAGTCAAAACCGTTTTATTAGGTTCACCCGTCACCAATAGAGTGTGTTTTTAGGTAAACTAGTGGTCATCCAGTGGTCGAAAACTCGACCTAAAACATGTAATGCACAGGCTTCTCTATTTTCACCCCATGCTGTAAATAAAAATGCGATTTTAATTTCTTGCATTTGTTTGGATTTTCTGCTTATGTTTTGTTGTTATTTCTTCAACAGCATGGCAACCCATAACGCCCATTATAATATTTTTAATTTCAAATTATTTTTTCTGATTATTCTTGAGTCTATTTTAATTCATAAAGGGATTCTGCACATCTACAGGAAATATCTTTCTAACGGTATGCGTAGATTTTCCTTAAGATGCACACGAGCTGAGAAAAAATGTTTTAACGAAATATGCTTGCCTATAGATAAGAGTTAAGTATAAGTTTTCAATGGGTGAGTGAGTGTTCTGTTCTGTTACTCTAATCAGCTGATTCTTTAGACAGGATTATTTATCAAGCCTGGTCAAAAAGATCTGAGTAGTTTAGAACCTCCAAAAAGCTACAAATCTGTGTTTGGATTCAACCGTTGACTTGTTGTTTTCTCAACTACCCAGTATTTAGCAAATACCAAAACGCCCTCAACATTAACTGAAATGAAATAACTGTTTTTAATGGTCAATATCTTTGGGCGAATCATGCTGCTCGAATCAAAAAGCAAAATGAATTAGAACTAATTTGAGGTTAAAGGTCAGATTTGCCTCAGTAAACTGATGTTACCAGTAGTTTGAAAATAATTACACATAAAATTTTATCACAAATATACATTAAATATACAACAAACAACTCTTAATTTTGCCATATGCTTAGTGATACAATTTTATGAAAACCAAACTGAATTCTTAATTTTTTAGAATATTGTCAACAATAATAGTTTTGTCATAAAACATTTTACTATTGTGACATAAACAGAAAGCAAAGAGGGACATAACAATTAAGAAACGAATTTACCCATTCGCATTTATGAAAAATATAAACCAAGATCAAAATTATTCCTCAAGGGACGACACGAATTCATAAACTCATTCAACCCTTACAGCTATAACTAAGAAAAATTGACGTATAATAAAACTCCAAGTAGCAATAACTCTCATTATCTTAGCTCCCGTCGATCATTGAGCTAATGAAGCACCATAAAAATGAAAATATCGCTTTATATTTCCCCATAAACGGATAAAGACCCTCGAGCTTGAAGCTCATAAACGAGTATTAAATACCGAAAATAAGCTCGTAAACGATAATGCGATTTGTAAAAATCTAATTAACATTTTCCGTGATCGCGGCAATTACAATACTGGTTTTACGGCTTGTTTTACGGTTAGGGAGACGAGGAGTGTTAATAATTCTGAACCAATCAAAAACAGATGGCTTCGGTTGGCAATCATGCAGATAGTTGGGACACGTCGGCAATGTTGGGGACGGGGGACGGGGGACGGGGGACGGGGGACGAAGCATCCCCTGGGAGATGTACACCACCTGAGCCTAGTTGTAAACCGGACTCTGCATATTTACGTGTTTTACCCTTCAGTGGCTCCAGTAAATATGATTGGACGCTTTTGTTATGGGATTGTAAATCGACCGGTTTTTATGTGTTTTGCCATAGGGTTGTTTTGGTAGGCTTGTGTTTTAAGACTTACAGTAGGCTATTGTGGATTTTTACAAAATTTCAAAACACAGGTTCTGAAATTTTTTTTAATTTATCTTATTTTTCATTAGGACTGCTTTTTTATTTAAATGATTTTTTTTTTAAGATTTTGTGTTTCCCAGTATGTAAACTATATTTTCATGTTATTAGTTTCTTCCCATTTGAAGACAGGTTTGGATTCAAGGTACAGAAACGTCGATAAGCCTCTGTTTTACACCACTGAGTAAACCAACGAGTAAATATACTCGTATTTGGATTTATTGTGTTTTTTTTTAAGAAGAGGGCTCCCACATTTAAAACTTACCCTATGCAAAGAAAGTGTTGCAATTGAGGTTAGGCTAGGTTTGGTTTGAGCAGGGACATAGTATTTAATTTTACTAAGGTAAATACATGTCAAGTGTGATGTTTATGATTAGAGGGAAGAAGCACAAATTGGGCTAGGCTATGTTCATTCCCATTAAGTAAAACTATGAATTTCTGTTTGTATTAAATTCATGTAAGTTTATAATATTTTTTTTATTACATTATCTTCATTGCATAGGGCACACTTTAAAAGACTTCTTGTTTCGATCCATTATCTTTATAGGACCCGTTCGGGGGGCACCCTGTTTAGAAGTTACACCAATATGCTAGCCCCAATAATCTTTGAGTCCAAAATAATCCCACAGTTTCTCAATCGCAATACAGTCGCAGTCAGAAGACTACCATTACGGAGACTACTAACCACTTGTGACGTCAGGGTTACTTTCACTGTATCTACCGAAGGACGCCCGGTGTCGCGGCCAGGGGGGCGGACGCCCGACCGGTGGGCAGGCAAGGTGAAAGTCCAGGAGTTCGTTCACCGCGTCTCCCACGGGTGATAGTGTCATCCCGTAACATCCCACGGGATATGGAGCTTCCTACACTGAACTATACGACCATAGATTGATTATACATGCTTCCTAGTAAAGTAATTCCTATGTATCAGCTTAAGACTGGTTTAAAATGTTGTTTGATCCTTTGGTCCGTTAATGTGTTTCCTATTATTATAAATAATTTATCTGTAAGTGTAATGTTTGGATTAAGGCACCAGGAGGCACATTTTAGGACGAGATAACAGAAGGGTCAGTGTTGAATTGACGAGATTTAGCGTAGTTACTGGCTAAGATCCGTGGATTGTTCAGCCAGGACCAAATATGGTATATGGTGACCAATGATCAATAATAGAAGATATTACTTACTTTTCTAAGGTGCAAACTGGCATCCTTCTGATAAATAGGTTAGAACTAAATCCACTCACAGCTACCATGCTAAATGGATATATCTGTACACTACTACTGGTACTGAGATATTGTTGCAAAAACGTAAATCACGCAACAAAATATCCATCCGAAACAAGCGAGAGTCCTTTAGCAGATATCAAAGAAACACAAACCAGAACATGTTTATGACTATACATACAGCGACAAATCTTCTTTCTTGCTATGACTTTTATATGGACCGAAGAGCATTGTCATGTTTTATAAATAAAAGAAAGATGATTATGATTTTTTGTTGCAGATTCAAAATTGGAAAACATGAAATCGATAAAGTTCTCATTACTTTTACTTTACTTCTCTTCGGTAGTCTCAATAGAAAATAAGGCTGCCTCAGACAATGTTGGAGAGTTTTTGGGGTAAGTAAACAGTTTACAAATTCTAATTATAAGTAATTTTAAAACCCAGAACAAGTTCATCATTTAAAATATATTCTTGAAAACATCCTCGAAGCAAGACGAACTTCTTTATGACATTTACTGTGCTAAAAGACAAGATGTCTTGTTTTACTCTCATTGTAAAGACAAATGCCTGTGACGAATTTATTTATCCCATAAAAGTAGCAGCTTCAGGCAACAAGACGTAAAGACAAGATGTTCAACGTTTTAGTACTACTGAAGCTCAAACTGTAAATGTATTAAGCTCTTTTGTGTAAAGGATATTCAAAAGATGCAAATACCTATTATGCTAGGCTTCTACAGTCAAAGTAGGCAGCCAAGTTGTGGTCTTTAGATGATGACCACGTCGTTCAATTTGTGGTGATATTCAAACTATAGTTTTTTTCCCCCCGAAGATGGAAGGCGACGTATCCAAAATAATGTTGGTCGCTATCTTAAATGATGCAACGACGTGGTAATCTTCAAAATTCAAGAGCTAGATGTAAATCGTTTATGAAAGGGATTGTTTTTACTTTCAAACGAGATACAAGAATTACTGGAATACATGGATTTTCAACATAAATTGCACAATTACTTAATAACACTCACAATTGATTTTCTTTTCAGACAGCTGACATCATTGTTGAACCAAGGTATACAACAGGGAGTTGTACCTTACCAGTCAGGTGGAGGTGGATATCCTCCACCGAGACCTTACCCTCCACCACCTGGAAGACCCTATCCTCCTGGACAACCGTATCCTTCAGGCCCAGGTTCTCCAGGAGCTTACTCTCCTGGACCATATCCTCCTCCTCCAGGCCCCTACGGCCAGTATCCTCCGGGGTACCCTGGTCAGGGCTTGGTCCCCGGACCCACCTCCATTCTCGGAGCTCTCTCGTCCATCGCCCGCTACGACGACCTCCGCTGTGTCCCTAGGCTGCTGTGCGAGGTGGCCTCTGGGGCGAGGCCCGGCAGCTACGGTTATCCGTCGTACACCCAGGAGAGTCCGGTGCCTTTCCTATCCAAGGATGCTTTAGTCACGTGAGTGAACTGTCAAGCTTTTAAAACTATTAGAAGTAATAAGTATGAAGTGTATGACACCCTCCCTTGTTGAATCTGAACAGTAAGGTATATGATGACGATAGAAATTTTCTGATCTTAAAAATATAAATATAAACCATTAAAGACAAAACTTTTTCTACGTACAATTTAAATTTTACCCGATACACTAGATGAGCAAAATTTAGCAAGGGTCTATAAGAGATGAATCATTGAAAATATATTTTTTTCTTAAATACTCCAGTAAAGGCTGAAAAATTTGTAATACGGAAAAATCGAAAATTCTAAAAATTTAAGCCGTACAAGGAAGATATTTTTTGTTTTATGTTTAAAATAGTATTTTAAATATTTAAGTTTACTAGACGAGCTTATGAGAGAGAGTTTGTGTAATGAGTTCATTACCTTAATCTATATATCTAATTCCGTAAGCCCAAAATTTTACAATGAAATTGTGAGCGAACGGGAGGCCGTAGAAAGCTGGGAGAGGTCTCATTTGAAAGGTCTGGGCATGAAATTTTGGGGAAATTTATTCATTTTTCTTAATTATGAACCAAAAGGTTGTCACGGAATAAAATCATACACATTTAAATAGCATGGGAATCTAATTGTATGCCTTTTTATTTAGTGTAAACACAGCTGTGACTATATAAATTGAAAAAAAATTATAACCACACATAAATGTGCATTATTTTGTTAATGTAAAATTGTTGATGAAGTAGTAAATGACACAAAGTAAAAATTAGATAAAATCTTTTGTACGAACAATTTGATAATTTAAACCTTAATACTTTACAATGGATTGTTCTTTTGCACAGTGATAATATATAATGTCGGCAGACCGCCACGCAGAGGTAGAAGTAATTACTGAAGTAGGCAATGGGAACATATTTTTATGCCAAAAATAAAACTAATGTCTACAGATCCTAATATACCGTTTACAAGGATTCAATTCCTGTTGCAATTAGCTTTCGCTGCTATAACTATAAATAAAGCACAAGGCCGAACCTTCACACAATTAGGCATTTATTTTAAAAAAACCCAGTTTACCCATATAGTCAACTTTATGTTGCGTTCAGCCGGGTAAAACCGCCAGATGGCGTTAAAATAATACTAGAACCAAATAAAGATCAAGGAATCGACCAAAAAGGATTCATTACATACAGCAAAATGTTGTTTTCAAAGAGATTTTGTTACAGAATTAGCATTTTACAATTTGGAGGATGACATTATCTCTATGCGTTTTTCTAAGTGAATAATTTGTTTATATTCAAAGAAATCTATATATAGATTTAATTGATAGTCATTATTATTGAAAAATTTTCCTTTAGATGATTATGATTGATTAGAAAGTTTATGCTACGAGTATAAACACACTGCATGTCCTTTGGAATTTTTATTTTCAGAGCAGACATCAAAATGCATTATGTAGGTATGTAATAACTATTACCTATATTATAATATACAAACATGTTAAACGATAATTCAAGGTAGGGTAACTCATGAGGCTAATAATTTGTACAATATAATTACTAGAATAGGGGCTTTTGCCCCTACAAGCCACTAGTAACATGTATTATTATACCATATTTTGTTTAAAGTAGCTGGGGGTTTAAAATACAGTGCTGCAATCTTGTACCATTTAGCTTTTGTAGGTTTTATTTTGTTTTTTTTTAACGCTCCTTAGGAAATGCAATGTCATTATAGGAAAAACATTGATCAATCAAGTTCAATCTGCTATTCTATACTTTAACTTCTGTATACTGTAAGCAAACACATTCCCTTGTATATGATATTAGGTAACTTATTAAATTACTCTTTTCAATTGTCTGAAGTTTGACTTCAATCAAACCCCTCCTTCACCACACCTGGACATCATCCAGTGGCAATGTTTCATCACTGTTTATCTCTAATGCAAGTGCTACATCATAGACGTCTACTCCACTTTGTCCGTTGATGAATACTTTACCGACCCTGGCTCTAAACAATGTCAAACCGAGGTCGTTAATCACACTGCATTATCGACACTGAGGATAACCAGGCACTGGGAACGGTGGAACAAGGAACGCGGGGAACGCTGGATAGTGAACCAACGTAAACATGACCTCCGACACGTAAACACATCATAGCTTTGATGTACTCAGATACCAGCTGTTATTTATCATGTGTTTGCGATAGGTTTGTGAGGGATGGTGGAGAGTTGGATAACATTCGTAATTTTGATTGGGTAAAAGAATATACTAATCTCCGAGCACGCAATAAAGTATTGCACAATTTTTTTGGGTAGAGATGATAGCATAGAGAAAATAAATCAAAATTGGTGCCGTAAAATGGATGAGTAGGTACAGAATCGATTAGGACCCCTTAAATGTAGCCTTGAAGAGTAACATATCTTACCAAAACCGTAAATCCACCAGTGTCAAGTTTTTTTTATTAGGAATTTCTTTATTTACATTCATAAGGATTTGAAATATTGCAACAAACGTTTTTATATTTTACTCACCAGGTTGCGCAATTCGTTTAATATACAGATTACCCTATACAAAACACTCACTGTACCTACAATGGCATAGGCCTACAACTGTTATTTCTACTTTCTCATTAGCTGGAACTAAACATAACCTTGCAAAGTAAAAGAAATGAAAATAACCTTCTTAGATTAATTTTAACTTTTACATGTCCACAAGATAAAAGGGGGTAGGCCTATAAGAAATGATGATAGATATTTGTAATAATCTGGGTTAATTTAAGTTTGTAATAAATTGGTTTTGGGATGACTAGGTGAATTTAATAACTAATTTCAACTAGCTAAGCTGAACCAACATGTTTATTTTACTAAGAAATCCTCCGTTTCTTTAGTCAGGATCATTATTAAAAGCCCAACAGTCAACGACAACTGGATCCAGTTTAATTATTTCCTAACCTAATCATATCAAAGTTTGTACCTACTGTATTCATTAAGTTGCCCTGTACGTTTTGGTAACCCAAACAAACACTGGATTAGGTAATACGGTTGGGGTAGCGGATTTTTATCCCCCTGGAATTTTACCCCCTGGGCAAACGTGACGACACAAACCAGGGGGTAAAATCCCGGCCGCGAACTTTGTTCGCTGAGTTTCGCGACATCAGCTCGATGGATTAAACGCGGAATTACACATATATGTTCATGGTTGTGAATTTAATCATAACACATCAAATTATAAAACCTAGAATGTACGGCCCGGATTTTTACCCCCGGATTTTTACCCCCTGAATTTTACCCCCAGAATTTTACCCCCTGACCAGATAAATAAATTAGTGAGAATGATTATTAATTATCTTCATTCAGTTTTAATTTAATAGTAAACATTTTATTATTAAGTAGCCTATCTTAATAATTTATAACATTAACTAATCGAACAGGTTTTTATTTTAAATTTTGAGATTCGAGTATCAGGATTCGATCTTTAAAGCCAACTGTTGGTTAATATGATCAAAATAAAACAGCAAATTATGTTTACTTAGTTTAGATTACAAAATAAATAAATAAAGATAGGCTACTAAATAATGAAATGTTTACAATTAATTAAAAACAGAAATAAGAAAATCATTCATTTAATTTTTAAAATGGGCTAGGGGGTAAAATTCCGGGGGGTAAAAATCCGGGGGTAAAAATCCGGCCCGTACATCTTCAGTTGTCTAAACGCTAGTTATATGGACAGGGGGTAAAATTCCGGTTTTTATCGCTAATCTAATTTATCACGCTCTGACTATTTTCATTAGACTTCCAAATCCGCGGGGGTAAAATTCCGGCCGCGAACAAACTTTTGGCCACTCAGGTTACTACGTCATATGACGTCAGCTTTGCCCAGGCGGTAAAATTCCAGGGTTATAAAATTCCGGCGACCCATACGGTTTAGTTTCCATAAACCAAAAAGTCTTCGAGTACGTTCTCAGACTTTGGAACTGTATTCCAGTACGTGGTTAGGGATTAGCGATAATAATGTGTAAGCAAATCTGTCAAGTGTAAGCCCGCCACATGAGTTACACAACGTTGCCCACATGCTATTTGCCGGAGGAGGGATATTTGCATTCATTTACGCCTTCGCGCTCGTTAAAACCACATTGAGTTTCGCGATTGCAAAAGAAACCGTTTAGCTTGGACAACAGTAATTTCTACACAGTTTTCTTTTGTGTAGTCATTATTTGACCTAGATTCGATCCAAGTAGTCAATTACGTTGTTAAAATTGTGTATAATTATAATTTTAGTCGTATGAGCCACGTGTATGGTTATTCAATGCGTATTACTTAATTTGATATTGGAACTAATACTATATTTTATTGGAGGTTATCTGGAATGCAGGATTTGCAATGCAATAAAGAACTCATTGCTTTGTGTCTTCATAGACAACAATATTTCTAAAAACTGCCATGTACTTAAAGTTACAGAAATATTTATGCGTGACATTGTCTTTTCATGCTTCAGGCTGTTGACTGTGCTCAACTTCGTGGACGACTCCCCACTTCTAGTCTTCGGCAGAGCGGCACTCCTCGGGTACACCTCCAGGGGTGACTCCCGGGCTTGTCTCGTCGCCTACCCAACCTGTCCAAGGGACCCGGACCATCTTGTCGACTACCTCAACAACCACAACGGAGGTTTCTTCAGGTTCTTCAACCAGCAGTTGCAGCAATACGCACCCCAGTACCAACAGTACTATCCTCAAGGACCTCCACCATACCCGGGCCAAGGTGTTCCTCCTCCGTATCCTCCACAAGGACCGTACCCTCCACAAGGACCGTACCCTCCACAAGGACCGTACCCTCCACAAGGACCCTACCCACCACAAGGACCCTACCCACCACAAAGACCCTATCCTCCACAAAGGCCTTCCCCTCCCTACGCTCAAGGATCATTCCCTCCCCGACCATATCCTCCTCAAAGACCTTCATCACAGTACCCCCAAAGACCTCTGAGGCCTTACCCATCCTATCCGTCCCCCGGGATTCCCCAGCAGTACTCCTCTCAACACCAGAAGTACCAAAGCAGGATACAGAACAAACCTGAGAACATCCTTGAGTACAACTACTACACTTCTAACCCAGTAGACGAAGACGCTAATCGACAAGCGTTCGCTGCATTCCAGAACCAAGACAGTGGGAAAGACAAGTCTAAATTAGTCTTCCCTGATCAAGGAGCTCAAAGTACGCGATTACAAAGTACCAGAAGTGGTAAAACTCTTCTGTTTCCTGTAGACGATTCTAGAGACCAGTTGGTATCTAATAGATTACCAGCTGAAAGACCGATCACCATGATCTTCCCAGACCGCACTGGCACTGGGGATCTTCGTCTTGACGTTGATGAGTTCGGGAACTACAAGACAGTTTACTACGAATCCTTACAGCACTTTGATAACTCTAACAGAGGTTCCAGGCAAGTGGCGTTCCCCTCAAAGACGATGCAATTCCCAAAGAAAACTATGCAATTTCCAACGCAGTAAGTGCAGATCTTTACTATAACGATTGGTTTCCCCAAGAAGAAGATTAAATTTCCCACAGGACACGCAGTTTCAATTAAAGAGAAAGGGTGTTACCATAAAAGAAGAGCTAAAAATACTGTAATAAAGTGCTCCACCAAAATTGTTTGGCTTCTACGTAAATGCAATTTTCTAAACATAAAATGCAGTTGCACACCAGATATCAATCACAGAAGATGCAAATTTCTCTGGATTCAATAAATCCCCACAAAAAATCCCACAAATGTGGTTCAAATTTCTACTCAAGCAAAGCAGTTTCTAGCACAGTTATTTAAGTTTTTTAGAAATGGTGATGAAGTTTCTCCCAAAGAATATTTTGAACATCACATACATTTCCTTCAAAAGCAATGTACATCCTTACAGAGCACACGCATTTGCTCACTCAGTAAATCCAGTTACCAACACAGATGATACAATTTCTCACATAGGAGATTCAGATTAATTACCAACAATACGGGTTTGGACACAGAAGATGCAGTTCCGGGAAAGTTCACAACACATAATATGCAGTTTGCACATGGTTTCACACAGAAAATCTAGATTCATCCATAGACAATCCACCTCTTCAGTTTCAGATGCAGTTTCCTCCACAGTCAATGCATTTCCTAACAGACAATGCGGTGCCAGTAATCAACTGGAAGATATAAAGTGATTTTGAGCGCGTCAGTGTCGCGCATCCATCAAGTTGTCACAAACATTGATAGATCTGCTCGCATTATGTCTTTTATCTCTCCGCTCTCTGCCTTCTGTGGTATAAATCATTAGTATAAAACGCGACACAATTTCCATTTATCACATCGCTTCTCGTTTATGGAGTTCGTCTAATCTTCATACGGTACCTTATGGCGTTACGGCAAGATTGGACCTTGATGTTGAAGGGTCTAATTAAATAAATGTTTCAAATCAACTTGGGAGGATATTATTGGAAATTACATTAAACTCTTCTAAAGAGAATGCAACGTCCATCAATATGTTGATGATGGAACAAATTTATTTCTTTAATTCATAACGTAACGCACAAAAAAGTCATATGCTATCATTATTTTTACGTACCGGTAGGGACATATGAAACTTTGTACGCTTCAATCATTGTAAGGATCCACCCTTATTCTTGCTCTAATGAGGTAACTTAGCTCTCTTATTTAGTTTGTTACCCACTTCACGATTTGTAGCAATTTAAACACAAAAGAACCATTGTATGAATATGATAAGGCAGGATAATCTTGAACTGTCTTCCAAGCGAGTGATATTTTTTTACTTATTAGTCATGCAACTTTTTGCTATTAATTTTTTATCTGCCGATTGAATCTTTAAGTATTTCAATGCTAATAAATGTCCTAAAATGTCTAATTTAGGATGAATACTATATAACATTTTCTCTAACAAATAAAAAAATAGTTCAAATGAATTTTTTAAACGTAGTAAAATTAACTGGTTAGATGTTTCAATTTACTCTTCTTTACCAACATTGTGATTTTAAGTAATTGAAATTCAGGTATCAATTTTAAAATGCTAATGTGCTTTCTATTTATTTACTTTTCTTTATTTATTTTGGAAATCTGTTTAATGCTGTAGAACTATGAAGACTTATAGATTCTGTTGATGTGTCTTTAAAAATTGCCTCTTGAACCTAACAAAGGCTGTTACCATGGTTAAGATTGAGTAACTTATGGTTGTGAGTTTGTACAAATCTTGTTAATTTTGTAAATAAACTTTTATTTATATAGTTTATTTAATCTACAACTTATTTATTCCCTTAATACATGATTCTTTTGGCAATTCAAATCACCAGAATGCCAGACCTCTTCAATTTAGCAGAATAACCACCATTACAATCGACCTTCCTGTTTAAAGGTCCTTAATTTTCTTTGCTTTGATTAAGTATTTTCCTGTGACTCAAAACTGCCTCCCAAGTTCCAATACCTGATTTATCGTGAATTGGATCAACTCTTTACACAAACAGTGTACATAATCCATTTAAAGCATTTAATCCACATTTCTTTTTAATGACCCTCTCTACTATATTCTGTTTGGTTTTTAAGACAAATTTAAACGAATGCGTTGAAGTGATATGAAGGTGTTTTTACAACTTAAATTTTTATGGTTAGCTGAAAAAGCCATACGATTTACAGTATCACATAACAAACTCTTTATTTTCTTCTTTATATACAGTTTGTTCAAATGTGTGATTCCTTGGGTCAAAATAAACAAAAATGTTTATATACACATATTTCCTATTCGTTCCGTTTAATATCCGTATGTATTTATTTTTTTTTTACAAAAACTTTCTTAATCTTATGGTTGTGAGTTTGTACAAAATCAAGCTAAGGCTTTGAGATTCGGCAAAAATGTTTACCTAGTTCATCATCTTTGTGCGAAATATGAATTAAAACTCAGGAACCAGCTCATTCTTATTTTGACCCAAGAAATCACTACGTAAATTATGTCCCCACACCTTGTATAAATTATCAAATCTTTATGTACTATGAAACTATCCACCATCACTTACGACTGATGACAAATGACTGACAACCTAGACAGAGGGTGTAAGCACTTATAGTGGTCGACTCAGCGACTCACTGATCGCTGATTACTGATTATCGATGGTAATCGTATATTTGCACAGATCTGCCTTTGATCAACCCCGCACTCAACTAATGCTGCAAATAGTTTCAAACTAACGACCGATTCGGTTCATTTGCGGCTCGGTGGTAATCTCCAGTGCGGGGTTTGATTCGAAATCGTTCCAGCCGATTTAGCCGGTAAAGCCTGGTTTGCAATCAGAATGCAATTGGCGTTCTGGATGACTTAAAATATTAACTCTTTGGATGTGAGTGGTTTGAAAATTTTTCAAAAGTAAAACTATCTTTAGGTTTGTTTAAGTTTTAAACTTTTTTTCGAGAACGGGTAAATTAGTAAAACAACATTACGATTTATAAAATTTATTTGCATACTTTACCTCTTTTTAAACCCTTGAGAAAGACAGCGCGAAAAGCTTGGTAATCAAGTTAAAAATGTTATAAACTTTTTTTTGTTAAAGTAATTTTATTATTTACAGTTTTGAAATTATGTTTCCTTTTTATAAGTGGTTAGTACAATTTTTGGTTTCTTTGCGCCTAAATATCACACAAAAACTCCATAGTTTAAAATATCTTTCTTAAATGAATACTTTTAGTATATGGAAAAGCCAACCGTATATTGTCTGTTATCAACCATATTTTAAGTAGTTTTCAGTTGCTTCACCAATAATTTTGTAGCTCTTAATTGATTTACAGTGATAAAGGGGAACATTATTTATTCCAAAAAAAGTGTTTATACACGTAAAATCCATATAACACATTTCCTTAAACTATATTTTTCAAATCATTGGCTACTCTGTTCCTAGATATTATTGATATTTTTAAATCAATTTTGTCACCTGTTTTGGGAGATTTTTAAAAGGTACTTAAAACGTCGTATACCGTAGGTAGTTTCATTTGATTGATAAACAAAATTGTTGACACTATTTGACGTTTAAAAAGGTTGAACACATAAAAATTATCAACGAAGGACTATGATGTAAAATCGTCTAATAGGTATGTTTGAAACGTAAAATACACACGCTGAATTCAAGACACAATTAATCCACCCAAGACAGCATTTCAACAAGAGGTATAACAAAAGACGCAACACTTCTCTGGTTATCGCAGTCATAAATAACAGGATAATAAGGTACAAGACGGCCACGATATATTGCAAACAACAAAAACAGGATATCGCACGGTAGCGAGTACAAAACACTGCAATCCGCCTATCCGCCTACAAGGATCTGCTTGGAGTCCCTCAGGGTTCCACGCTGGGACCGTTCATGTTTCTCCAGTTTGAAACAGTGTATAAAAAGCTATAAGCGTCTTGATGCAAAACTTCTTGCTCAAGGAAATGGTTGTGGCATGGACAAGGTCTTGTAGTCAGGTTGATGTAAAGTAAGCACATTGCAGATTGCAGACTAATATTCTGTTTAAGAAAGAAACCATACACTAATTAATTTGTGTACATTTATAAATTAGTGCCAATTGCTTTGCTCTTCTCAAGCATTGATATGAGCTAACAGTTTTAAATTAATAAACAGATCTTACACCAGGCATTCAAAGGTTTTATAAATTGATTGTGAGGTAGCCTCTGAAAAACTAAATTTAAGCTAAATGGTTTATGTTTTGGCTTCGTCAATTGATCCTTTTCCAGTAGTACTATAGTTTCAGAATTAAAAGTCCATCATCAGGTAAAACAAAAACATCGAAAAAACTGGCCAGTTTTCAGTATTATATTCATTTGCCGTGTTTTATCGTGTTCGTGTATGTGTTCTCAATACATTCAGCTTGTTAACGACGAATTGAACGAAATCGGTTAGATGACTTCATCGATGTTTTTGTTTTACCTAATGATGGAATATGGACTATGGAAGTCTGAAACTATAGTACCACACTGTACTGTTACTACTGTACTGTAGTACTATAGTATAGTAGTATAGTAGTAGTCTGTAACTACTGGAAAAGAATCACTTGACGAAGCCAGGTAACATAAACCATTTAGTTTTAAATTGAGCTTTGTCTTTGAATCTTAAGGCCCATGTTTGGACAGTATGTTTAGCTATTTGATATCACCTCATCTTTCGGTTCAAACCCCACCTCAAGTATTTTCTTTCCCCTTGGACGCTAGGCACGAGCCCGGAATTGTTTTTCGCATTACTTCAGGCTAGACCTAGGGTTTACGGCATTATCACTTAGATAAAATCCATTAGTGATTTAACGAGATTTGAACACGGGACCCTAGGAACCGGAGTCCCGCACTCTAACTACCTCAAGTAGTAGGTATACTTAGAAAACAAAAAAGGGTGTCTCAGGAAAGGCTGGAAAAGTCCCTCCACTAAAACACATAACACCAAAAAATTAACCGTAGACAGTTTAACCTATATTGATTCTTGTGCCATATTAAAATTTGTTAGTACATGACCTCGATGTGAATTATATCGATTTCACAATTCATATACCTGTATAGGATCGGTAACCATTGAAACATTATATGGATATTTTAATGTTGTCATGATAGACCTTGGACAAATAGCTGACATAATATATTGGTCTGTGGAAGGGTGGCAACGCGAAGGGTTGATAACACTAACCCTTCCTTGATTTACGAGCCTTGCTGACAGAGATGTTAGATTTCGTTAAAGAACTTACCCGTCTTCAAACAGTAATCCGCTGT